GCACTCCATTCATGAGTTCGTTTGTGATGTGGCTTTCTAGTCAGACCCAGTGTCAAGCCTTTAGTCCATCTAAGGCCCTCCTCGGCTCCTCAACAAGGATGTTGCTGGGAACCTATAGTCGTGTAAGGTAGTTTGCACGCTCTTCTACCCTCTGACACACTGTTCTTCCAAGGGCTGATTCCCTCTCCTTCCTGCGTGCCTGTCTGTGGGGAGGCCACCCACCATCCTTTTGGTATCTTTATTGCAAATGCTGGACATACTTGTGGCTTGGGAAGGGAGGTCACAAAGTAACTTCCTGGGTTCAACACAGGTTGTGTGCAGGGTCTGCTTGCATTCGAAACATCAGTCCCTGGTCCTCAGCAACAGGAATAAGACTTGGCTCAACACAGGGTCAGGAAGAACAGGGTGCTTCCTGGCTCCACCAGTTGGGCCTGAAGGAGAAAGTGGCCGGGGTAACCCACGCAAGCTACTGGGATAGATGCATTTCTTCAGGGTTAACCTTGTTCATTTTGTTGGCAGGGATGAGACTTGGTGGGACAGACCAAAATCATGGGAAGTCCTCTAAGCCCATCTGTGCGTGACCGGCAGGGCCACCTTCCATCACACACGTTCTTGGCCCAGAACGGCATTCACATCATTCAAACTGCAGATAACAAATGCAATCTGGTGGCTTTCATGTCTACTTTTTTTTTTTTTTTTTTTTTTTGGCTTTGGAATGTATTGTATCATTTCTTGGCATGAGACGTAGCTTCCCAGTAACTATAAGTTTGCTTAACTTTATGTTTAAAAAAATAGAAAAGAGTTTGTATTTCCTGAGCACAGACTAAGGGATGGTACAGGGAGGGGGTCAGCTGGAGAAGGGATGGGGAGGCTGTAGTCAAAAAAGGAGCCTGGAAGCCAGGTGGGGCCTCCAGGTGGGGCCTCCAGGTGGGGCCCTCGAGCTGATGTGGACAGCGGCTGCATTTGGAGGACCCCGGGAACACAGAGGAGAGAGCAGAGAGAAAGATCAAGGCAGTAGGAAAGAGAGAGGCACCTAGAGGGCAAAGAGAGAGGCAAGTTGGAGAAAATGAGGCAGGGGGTTCAAGACAGAGCTAGGGGGGCCCATCAGTACCATTTCTCCCTTTGAAATCCAGGAACCTTGCCTGGGACCTGTGGCCGCACTCAGACCCCGGCCCTGTTGAAGTTCGGCCAGACAGGTGCTGGGGCATTTGAGTGAATCTGCTGCCGCTTTGAGCTTAGACCTTTGGAGTGGACTTAGCGATTATGGGTTTGTCTGTCCAGAGCACTTCGCCATCCTCTTTTCCCAGTTCCTGGGGGAGCTCCTCTCCCACAATGCGTGGCCCCAGTGGAGCTGTCTGTGCCCTTCTCCTCCCAACTCCTCAGGGCTGGGTGTGTCCCACACTGGGCCAATTATAATACCATGTCCTCCAGACACTGTGATTTGTGCAGGGCAGACATGAACCAAAGCTCCGGACTTCTCTGCTGGATTAAGAAGGAAGCCACTTCTCTCCTTTTAGAATCTGTACAGTATAAGCTTGTGGCTGCTGCCTGCCATCTCTCTAGACAGGCAGAGAAACCCTGCCTGCTGTAGGAAAGGAGAAGAGAATGAAGAAAGACTAAGAGAAGACAGAAAGAAAACAGTGACATTCATTTGAGACCCTTGATCCAGCTGTACCTGCAGCCAGAACACCTTGGCACATCCCAGTTATCTGAGATTCTATACTCCTTCTTCATTGTTGAGTTTTGTCCCTTGTAACTGAAAGAATCCTCACCTATACCATCCCTTCACCTGTAAATAATGGACATAGCCGGGCATGGTGGCTCATGCCTGTAATCCCAGCACTCGGGAGGCTGAGGCAGGAGGGTCATTGCGAGTTCAAGGCCAACTTGGGCTACAAAGTGAGCTCAAGGCCAGCTTGAACTGTATAGTGAGACCCTGTCTCAAAAAAAAGATAGACATAATTCCTTGCAGGGGAGTTGGAATTAAATGAAGTCATGGGTGTGAAAGGGATTTCAAAAATAAAGTGAAATACTCCAAACAGCAGTCACATATTGCTAGTGTGAATATAAAATGGTACAACTTGGGAAACTGCAAGAGCTCCTCAAACCATCACACATAAAATTATTACGTGACCCAGCAATGCCACTCCTAGGTAATCACATGTCACTTAGAGATGGAGACAGTTCTGTGAAGCGTGTTGCGGGGTGATTCCATCATTGTACAAATATCACAGTGCTACTCACACAAATCTACACAGCACAGGATATATGGGATCACCATCCTATACAGGACTGGTTGTCATACCAAACATTACTGCATGTACCCAAGAGAATTGGAAGCAGATGTTCACACAAAAACTCTTACGCAAATCTTCATAGCAGGGTTCTGCATAAGCACCCAAAGTGGAAATCTCCAAATAAACATCACCTGAGGAATGGGTAAACAACCCGAGGCCTATCCACACCATGGAATGTTACTTGGTAATAAAGAAGAATGAAATGCTGATGCTGAAACAGCGCATCGAGCTGGCAGACATAAAAGCCCTTGTAAGGGATGATGCCATTGCCATGAAATGTCCAGAATCGGCAGCTCCGTGGAGACAGGAAGCAGACTGGTAGCTGCCAGGGGCTGGGATGAAGGAAGGGGCGTGGCTGCTCAGGGGTCCCGGGTTTCTTTAGGGGGTGATGGAAAGGCTGTGAGGTTAGTGGCGACGGTTACACAGCCTTGTGAGCAGACTGAGAACCACTGAATGGCATGGAGAATTCTATGGCACTAAATCTCAATTAAAATATAAAATGAGGGGCTGGGGATTTAGCTCAGCAGCACGGCGCCTGGCCAGCAAGTGCAAGGTCTGAGTTCGATCCCCGATACCAGACCAAAAATTATATATATATATATATAATGAATACACTGTGTACGTGGGAAGGGTTATTAGTACTCTCATCACCCCTCATTCGGGCTTCCACAGAGCGCTTCGTCCAATACTCTGAACGTCCCCAGGCTTAGAGTCTGGACTTATCACCCACACCCTGACACCTTGTGTGGTTTCAATGACGTTTACTGATGATGAAATGAGGACTGACTTAAGTAAGCTCATGAATAATAAAGGATGATGGAGTAAATAACCGTGAGGTCACGTCTCACCTGCTGGGCCCTGTCGCAGCTCCTCCTGCTCAGGCTTCTTGCAGAGCATGGGGCATAGGAGGTCCCCAAGTAGGTGTCGAATGGACAAGTACAGGGACACCTCTTCCCCCATCCTGTGTGAGCAGCACACTCACAGCACTCAGGACGCCCGGCCGGAGAGGACAGCTCCCAAAGGGTAGGACAGCTACCAGCAAGACTATGGCCACGCAGACGACCGACCCATCGGAGTGGCCCAGGGTGCCCAGCGGGGGGATTGGAGCTCTCACAACCACCGTGCGTCATTCCCGATGCCCTTAGGGTCTGGGCACCATGGGGACAGCGAGGCAGGGAAGCGGGTGGCAGCCTATCAGATGGCTGTTGTTTGTCATCACAGTCCAGGTCCCCAGCATCCTGACTCAAGGTGGCTTAAGCTGGTCCCGTAATTAGAAAGTGCTCAGAGGGTGGCTTGAGTGAGCCAGGGCTCGCAAGGTCCTGGGCCTTGGCCTCTCCACTTCTCGTCTAGCATCTCCCTGCATCCGAGGCCGGATCCCCTTGTCCACACGACCCTGAGTCAGCTTCCAAGTCTGGGAGAGAAGGAGAAGGTAGCAGGGAAGACACAGAGCAAATTCCTTTTTATCAAGGGCTCTTTTAGAGGAGCGAGAAAACTGTTCTTCGTCATATTGGTCTTCTGAAACTTTGGCCAAGGGATGGCCACACTGATTCATTTCAGCCTAAACTCTAAACCACATCCACATGCCTCTCTCACTCTCTGTCTGTCACATACACACACACATCCAGGATGGAATCAGCTTCCCCTGCTATGTGGCTAAGTGGGAGAAGAGAGTATAAAGTAAAAACCAGGGTGTGATCAAGAAAAAGGGTATGTGTTGGGGAGGCAAACATAATCCCAAAACTCAGCTGGTGCTTAGGGCCCCCTCTGAGTGTCACCTCCTCTGGGCGCCCTTCCAGTCTCTCCAGCAGAAAACTGTACCCCTCCGGGTGCCCCCCCCCCCAGTGCCCGGATATACTCATCCATCCCTCAGCCCCTCCTCTGCTCCTGGGGGCTGGGGGTTGAGTGCTCATCTGTGAAACCGATTTCAAAGCTAGAAAAGTTCAATGATCACATCCACTGATGCCCAGGAACCCTCTCTGACATACAGTGAGCCTGCGTCTCAGGACCTGGCTGGTGGGGACCGGCACTGTCCTGAGAAAGACCCAGGCCAGGCACCACATGCAAAAACAGTAGCCAGGGCCAGATTCAAAGAGCCTGCAATAAGTGTGCATTGAAGGGAACCGCGTGTGATCACAGGACTGGGAAGTAGGTGTCCTGCTTCCGGGACAAGCGGGTCCCCTTCTTCCTAGATGCTTCCCAATGCCCTAGTCGTGGGGGCGTGAACAGGTGGAGGGGGCCTGCATGGATCCAGGGTCACAAGAAACACTGTGACCTCGACATTTCAAGCCCCCCCGGTGCAGAGAGACAGAGGGGATGTCTCCGACGGTGGATGGCTGATGGCTGATGAGGAAGGGACAGACTTCTGCTCAGGGAGACGGAGCAGAGGGTGTCTCGGTCACCGAAGGTTCCCTGCCCGCCCTCCCGGCTTTGGGAAGCCGCTTCCCCTGGGAGTCAGAACCATACACTACTTTGCCTGGTCAGCTTTGGTGATGGCGATGGTGACGGGGACGCAGGTGCCACGTGGGTGAGAGGTCCCAGGAGCGGGGGCTGGGGGCTCGCGGGGTGAGAAGGGGCCAAGCGGGGAGCGCGTGGAGGCCGCAGCCCGCCTTCGGCCCAGGTGGCAGAGGGGCCGGGTCTGGGCGGGAGCCAGGCGGCCGCGGTGTCCGCGCCCCTCCCAGCGCTCTGCCCTCCCACTTCCTCCGCGCCGCCGGGAGCCGGGCGCCCGACAGCAGAGAGGCTCGAGGCGCCGCGCCCTGAGGCTCCGCTCGCCGCCCGCACCGACCCGACCGACCCCGCCGCGCGGCCATGGACCTGCCCCGGGGCCTCGTGGTGGCCTGGGCGCTCAGCCTGTGGCCAGGTACTTGTCCCCTTGCCTCCCCTTGACACTGTGAGTCGCCCCCTGCCCGCCGGAGCCTCGGGTCCCGGTGCCAGGAGCGGGACGCGACGCGCCTCCCGGGGTGGGACCTGGCTGCTCGCGGGGACCCGGGTTCCCCGGAACCGACTGCAGCGCGGCGGCCCCCCCAACTCCCTCCAAGGAGGGCGACTGGGAGCCCCGACGCCCGTGCGTCTGGGGAGAGGCGAAGAGCGCCGCCAGGGCTGGGGCACCACCTGCGGTTCTGGGGCACCGGCCGGGAGCTCGGGCATCCAGGAGCACAGAGGGAACGCAGCCCGGGCCGGGAGGGAGGGCGGAGCGCCCCGAAGTTGGAGAGCCCGGCACGCCGCCTCCAAACTGGGGAGACCTGAGGCCGAGCGCTGCTGCTCAGAGCCCTTCTAGCTGGGGACCCAATGGAGCTCCAGGGCATTCGGCTCCCGGGCGGTGTCGAGCCCTTGTGGCCGGGGCCCTGCAGTCCCGGATCGCGGGGAAAGTAACCTGAACGGACAGGGCAGCGCCTGACCGACTGATGTTTGGAATTAGGCAATTATTCAACAAGCCCGGGAAGCAGTAGTGGTCTAATTGCCTAAAGCGCTCCCGGGCATGCGGGCTCTGGGCACTGGGGCACCCCGGGCTCACGGGGAGAGGCCGGGGTCAGCAGCGGGGGTCAGGTGCGGTGGCAGCAGCAGAGGTGCTTTCAGAAGCACAGGTGGAGACCCCCAGTCCGCCCTCACCCTCGGCAGTGGGCCCCCTCGGGAAACAAGTGCACGGGAAGGTCTGCCGCTGCAAGGGGCGCGGGCTGGTGGGACTCGGGCAGATGGCAGAGTCACAGCTAAAAGCAAGCCCACTGCTTGAATTTGGAGCTTGAGGAAGGCCAGGACGAAGGGCCACCAGGCCAGGCCATCTAGGAACCAGCTGCAGTGGACCAAGCCCGCTCTGGTGCTTTCAGCAGAACAGAGGGTTTCAGGGCTGTCCTCAGAGCACCAGAGATCCAGCCACACACAGAGGATGAGCTTCTGTGAGACTCCAGGACCTGAGCTCAAGGGGCTGCCTCAGAGGCTGGGGACAGCAAAGGCTTGGGACTGAGACCTGCCTCTGCCACCCAGGGCCACAGAGCCCTGCACGGTTCCTTACACAGCTTCTCCAACAGGTTCCCCTGGGGGGACAATGGAGGAGGGTTCTGAGTCCTCAAGCTGTCAGCATGCTTGGGGCAGAGTAAGAAAAGCCTACAGGCTTGGTGCACGGTGCGGCTCATTCAGGGGTTGGGGGTGATGTTGTCGTCGCAGAAGGGCAGGAGTGAAGGCCAGTGGCAGCAAAGGGCCTCTGAAGACAGGATCTGTGACTCAGAGCTCCCTCTCTATGGAGAAAACCACCGCTGCGTTGCGTCCGGTCAGTCTGGGTTTTTGAAATGTGGGATTCATTAAACATATCAATCAATGTGGGAGCAACATCTGCTCTCAAGGAGCGGGGGGTGGGGCCAGGCACATGTGCAGCCAGAGGACAAGGCAAGACCAGGGGCGGCAAAACAGAAGCTCCAGGGAATGGCGAGGAGATGCTGGGGGCAGCGCTCAGATACAGAAGCTCAGCATGAGCTGGCTAAGCTGGGGAGGCTTCCTGGAGGAGGAGCCGGAATTTGAACAGAATAGTATGGAGCAGGGGGGATTTAAAGTGAGCCTGTTCGTATTGTAGGGGGCTGTCTCCTGGGACTGGTTGTTTGGTTTTGTATTGTTTGCTGAGTTGCTGCTTTGCGGATCTCAGAGATTAAACCCAAGGCCTTCACACTGAGCTATCTTGCCAGCCCTCGTTTTATTTTATTTTATTTTATTTATTCATTTTTTGAGACGGGGTCTGGCTGGGCTCAAATTTGCTATCCTCCTGCCTCAACCTCCCAGAGAGCTGGAATTACAGGCTTGTACTGCCATGCCCAGCCCTCCTGGGACTAATTAAGGAACAAAAAGATGACTGTTTAAGACCACAAAGGTGACTGGTCAGTCTGGACTCCTGAGAGTGGAGGGCGCTCAGACTCAGTTAGGTCGTTCCCCAGGTCATGGGCAAGCTTGCCCTTGGACGATGACTCAGGTGGACGGGACCAGGGACCCTCGAGAGGCCAGGTTGGGAGCAAGTCCTCACAAAGGCCGTTCGGAGTTCAGGGTCCCTACCCTTCTGCAGTTCCTGTTGCAGACTGGATAAGGGGGAGGGGTAGGCACAACCATCAAAAAAGCCCCCCACAAGAAGCAAACAAATCCAAAGGAGTTTATAGCCGGCCTTTAGAAGGAAGGCCCTGGAGTCTCGCTGCCTGGGATTGGCCTGGGGTCTGCCAGTTAGGGCTGTGTGCCCCTCACCAGTTACTGTTCCTCTTTGTGCCTCAATTTCCTCTCGTGCAAAGTAGGGAACATAATAGAATTTATCGTTGTCACAAGGATGAAGTGAGCAAATGTACACCCAGTGCGTGGAGAGAGCCTGGCAGGTACTAAAGCACTCGGGGAGGTTGTCTGTCTCCTCGGTCGCGTCATGGGTGGAAAGACCTAAGGGTGCACGGGCATGTACTTTCCAAGTCAAGTCCATAAGAGACGCCTACGAAAGGTGTGTCAAATGCACCGAGGCCCCAGTAAACTTACTTAGCTCTACCCCACCAAGGTGTGGATCGCAGTGAAAGCTAAGGTGGCTTCACCGTTGAGGTTGTCCTGAGCGAGGGGCCAAACGCTTCCTTCAGCTTGGTCCTACGGTGCTATGCTGGTGGGTGGGATCCTACTGAACAGGAAAACTTCATATGGAAAATCACAAAGCCAGGCACCATGGATCTGTCAAGGTCCACGCCCTGCTCTCCAGCTTGGGAAGCAGAGGAGGAGGTGCTCTTTGTCGTTGTCATTGTGACTTCCTTTGTCCACTTTGCTGGGGGAGTCTCAGCCAAGCTCCTCCGCCACCAGGAGCTGAGGAGCCTCTGGAGCCCTCCACACCGCAGGCAGGCGGGGGTCCTAGAGCTGGGGCGCAGTCTCACCTCTTTCTACCTACCCAGCACTCCTCATCTCTCTCCTACCTTGGACCGCAGATCTCCTTGCCCTTCCCACCACTTCGTCTGAGGACCTCAGTCCCACCCTGTCCCCTGTGGACCTCCGCCCTCCCTCCATCCTCACCCCTATGCCCGAGGCAATGCCCTATTCCTTAGGCTAAAACCATGCTCTGAGCTGCCTAGGCTTGGCTCTTGCTATGAAGAAAAGAGTTCAGATTTAAGGAACTTTTTTCTCTCCATAATGCCCACTTTGAGGCATCACATCTCACCTCAGGATTCGAGATCTTCCTTTTGGAGTCCTAGCTAATCGTTGTTGCAGTGCAACTGCGGAGAGAAGGGGCCGTGGTGATCCTGCCTGGACAGTGACAGCCTCTGGATGACTTGGGAAGGGCCAGCTACAAAACAAGCCTTAAAAATGCTCTTCTGCATCTCAAAAGTGGCCCCTTTATTGCTCACTTACTGCCCCTTCCTCGGCCTTCCTCCCTCCAAATCTCAGACTATCACCAAGAATCCACAGCTGCTTGACAATTAAGATACCCACAGGCTGTTTGCATGGAGGGTTTGCCAGAGAAAGCTGGGGTCCTGGGGCAGCAGGGGGGGACCATCTCCAACCCCATCAACTGCACATTCTTAACTGGATTCCAGGAGTTTGCTACCAGCAAGGGGAGAAGGACAGGAGGGAGACCAGAGTTGGCCATCTGGTAAACCAGGCAGAATGGAGCCATGGAGAGTTTTCCTCCTGTGGCTTTAAAACCTGAGTCCCAGGGCCGGGGATATAGCCCAGCAGCACAAGCGCCTGCTCGGCAAGCACAAGGTCCTGAGTTCGATTCCCAGTACCCCCCCCCCCCGCAAAAAAAAACCCTGAGTCCCAGATGTGTGTGGTCTCAGCTGGAGGGACTTTCACCAGATGTCACTCATTTTTTCACCTCACACTGACCACACAGCAGGTCATCAATGGGGACTTGGGCCCAGGAGGACTGCTGGGTTCAGACACCTTCTGTTTGGGTGGTCCAGGGGTTCAAGTTCCTCAGCTGTAAAATGGGTAGAAGAATGACTTCACAGCCCAAGCTAAGGTTAGCGGCCCAGAGTGTGAAGTGCTCGGGACACCACCTGGCCCCCAGGAAGCCCTCCGTTCACAGAGACGGTCACTGCCCTCCCCATCATTGTCTGACTGACACCAGGTACCCTGTCCAGCACTTTCTGGCATCTCGGGCCTTGCTACAGCCCTGCGGGTTCCCAGTGTGGAGCGGCTCAGGGTCACAGGTAGAGGAGGAGGCAGCAGCAGCAGCATCTGTCTGACCCACAGCTGCTGCTTCTCGCCCACGAGCAATGCTCTGTTTGGAATAATGGGTCCCGAGGGCATGAAAGACAGTGTGATGCCCTTGCAAAGAGGCCACCTGTGGGAAAAGAGACGGGGGTGCAAATAGCACCCACCCTGTCTGCCCACACTGTCCCCCCTCAGATTTGCTAGACCGCTAATGGCGCCTCCATACAAGATGCTGGTGTGGCGTGGTGAGAGTGTCCTCACATGATACCTGGTGGCGTGAGAGCCTCTCTGTCCCCTGCCCCTGCCCAGGGCCAGTGCTACCACCTTGCCCCCAAGTCCCTGATGCCCATAGCTCCACTCAGCGCATCCTCATGGGCCAGGCTGGGCAGCCTCTGCTCCCCACCCCCCTGGCTTCTGTTCCCCTGATCAAACCCTGTTCCTCGTCTCAAGCCTGTTCCGTTAATTCCTGCCAAACAGCGCCAGTAAGTGCTGATAGCCAGTGTGTCCTGCCCACGGGATTTGTGTTGTAACTGAGCTGCACCCTCCCCTGCCCAGAGAATAAAGGGCTGATGCTGGCGTGCCTGGCACCTGGGCGGCTGCTGGCAGCGGAAACCAGCGAAGCAGGGGACTCACTGGCGTGGTCCAGCCCATCCGGCCCCTCTCCATCCAGTCACACGTGCTGTCCCCAAGCCTGGCACTGCCAGGCAG